TAACGCTTTAATATACGATATTTATTCGATAATTACATCGAGTGATTATAATGAAATTGATCAAATAAATATATAAAAATTATATAAACCATTATTTATTATAAAAAACATTTCAATAAAAAATGATATATCGTTTTACATCAATCTTCACTAAATTTTATGTAATGTACATAAAATTAATATTAAAATAAATATTTATAAATGAAAATGAAACGAGTAATAGCTGGTAATAATGGTATTTATAAAACTTTTTATATCATATTAACTTTTAAATAATTTCAGAAATTAATTTATTCATATTTTTTTTATATTAATGTTTTTTTTATACTTATATTTAATTAAACAAAGTTTATTCATAATGTTTAACTATTTTTTAAATCATGTAATTTAAAAATTACATGACATAATTGTGCCATAATTTTTTATTATGAGAATAATTTAGAATAATATTTAAATCTTTTATATTTTATTATATTATATTATATACATATATATTACTTCAAAAAAATATTTTATATAAAATTCACTTCTATTGCAAAAGATAATATTTTATTATTTCTATATTATTTAAAAAATATCTTAAGATTGAGATTTTTTATTTCAAGGGGAAAAAATTTTGATTAAATTTTTCTGAAACAAAATTTTATTTTCGTTGAAAAAAGTTTCAAGCATTTCATAAATATTAAATTAAATACATTAAATTTTAGAATACATAAATATTTAAAAATTTTTTTAAATTTATTCAAAACTTAGATCAAATTCAATAAAAAATCAAATTCAGGAACAAATAATCCACCATTATGTTCATGGGTCAATTTTTATGAAAAAAAAAAATTCCATTAATAATAGTTAATATTCTAAATCCAATAATTTTTCTAAATTTACAATCATGTCCTGACTATACAACCAATTTCAAATATCATTTATTCATGTCAATATTACTTAATATTCAATAATCCTTTCATGAATCATAAGAATACAACTTGTATAGAAAAAAAATATAGGAAATCAATTATTATTAAACTTTTAAGACTCATAACGATAAATGTGTGCGGAAAATACGTCGTCAAAATAAATCTATGTTCTATATTCCATTGTGAAAAAATAGAATCAATCATAAAATAGGAACATTATACAAAAGGATAAAATAAGAGATGTACAATAATTGTTATAATTTGATCCTTGAATAAATTTGAATAATTCTAAAACATTTATAAAAATCTATAATTTAATATGAAATGTTTGAAACTATTTCAATAAAAATCTATTTTCATATAACTTTAAAAAATAAATCTTATTATTTTCTTTAAAAATTTAAAATTCTTAATCAAACACAAAGAATTCAAATCGTTTTGAAAAAAAATATCTTTTAAATAAAATATCTACCATTATTACAAATGATAATAAGATAATTAAGATGATTATTTACAAAAAAATATCACTTTTCAATCTTAATTATTTTTCAATATAATGGTCAAAGTCATTACTTAATTATGTTTTGAAAATTTTATTTGGCGATAATTTAAAAAATTATTAACAAAAACTTGTTTCTTTGAAATAGTTTAGATTAAGTTAGCTTAAATTTTTTCAGATTTATTACGGATAATTAAAAACTAGTTCAAATTCAATACATAAAATATTAAATTAGCTAACCTAAGTTAACCTAACTTAAATGAGTTAGTTAAGTTAAAGTTTATTTAATTTTGATTTGAGGTGAAATTTAAACTAGAATTAATATAAATTAATTAGTGTTAAACAAAAATTTATTTAATTTATGATTTGAGTTAAATTAGATTAAATTAATACATTTTTATTAAGAATAACTACCAAATAAATTTATCTTCACTATTCAGTAATGGTTTTGACAAAATATTAAAAAATAATCGAGATCAAAAGATTTATCTCTTTAATAAATATTTATCAATATTCTTCTTAATTATATTTGATTTATCTTTTCGACAAATATTTATCAATGTTCTTCTTAATCATATTTTGGATTTGATGGAAAATAAACAAATATATATTTTTATTAATAAATAAATTTTATACGTAACATTCATTTTTTTTATTCATTTGTAACATTATATTTACAAAAATCACATTTGCAAAATTGATTTTTATCGTTTACGGACATTGGTTTTCATCCTATCAGATTTCGATTGCGGAGCAACTTGCTAAATTTTCGGGCAGAGAAAACAGTAACTTTATCCTAATTTTATCGCGAGAAAGTTTCAACAAACACCGCAAGCTTCCCACCAAATTATCATATGTTTTACATAATTCCAGTTATAAATTCGAGCATGTTATATTCTAGCGTGCATAATTTTCGAACCAGGGAGAATAAAGCAAACTTCAAACGCTGTTCTATCGACATATTATACTGGTCACACGAGATATATACTATCACAACGAACATCTTGTCATAAATTTGAACGAGGCTTTTCATCGTTATATCATTCTGAAAATAAGCAAGATAAAATAACTCACGAGCCAGGCTCGGTTATGATAAGTACACGCGCTATCCAAATGGCCGAATCTTTGAAGATAACCGATAGATTTGTTTAACAATAGATAACAATTATACTTAAATATCCATTTTAAGTATAAATGATCTCTCTCTCTCTCTCTTTCTCTCTCTCTCTCTCTCTCTATATATATATATATACATATGTATATATTCTTATTTATTACATTTTAGAAACTCGTAAAAAATAACAAATTCAAAATTTCATATTTTTTGTTTTACAATGATAGAAAATATTTTTGACAAAATTAATATCGAAATAGAAAATGTAATTACAAATACCTACTTAGTTTCATGACATCACTTTAATTACGATGTGATGAAAGTAAGATAAACTTTATCTTTATTTTATCAACTGAAACATCACAGAATAGAAATCTGATATTGGAAGAAAAAGTATTTTATATAGAAAAATATATTTTTTAAGTAAAAAAATAATAAGATTATTATTATTACATAGAATTTTATTTATAAAAATGCATTCTTAACAACGTGTCGATAAAAGTGTTTTTTACATTGTTTTGATTCTTCGATTAAAAAATGAATGTCGGTCAATTATCGATCGAGATATAATGCTCGTTTTCTATTATTTTATTTCGTTATTATGTCGTTTATTATTATTTAATCTTTATTTTTACTATGTATTTTTAATGTCACTCTATTAATCGGCACGGCGGCGTGGAAAACCGAACGATAATCGATAATCGATTATAAATTGTATATTCATTCAATCGGATGGCGAAAAGGACAATATTGAAAAGGCTCTAAACATGCAATCCACCTTTTGTTAATATAAACATGAACCTTATATATATATATATATAAATAAGGACCAATCAAAATTTTCTTTTCTCATAAAATTGGAATAAGCCTCTAAAAATCTCCCTTATACGAAAATAATTTTATAGAAGATCTTATTTAAGAAAATTTTGTACTCGAGTATTCATGAATAAGAAGAAATTGTTGTGAAAATATATCTAATATAAATACGTATGTATAAATTGTAAATAAATAGAAAGCTATAAATCTAAATTAAGATTTTCATAAATAAAAAAATGTTAACGATCCAAAATTCCATGAGCAATATTTCTTTGATCTCAACGTGTTTTAATCAAATGATAAATAAATTTTTATCTTCAAAAAGTTAATTAAAATGATGAGAAAAAGATGTTTAATTCAACAATAGAAGAAAAAGGAAAAAAAGATAAATCTTCTGTTATATATATAGATTTTTTGCAAATATTATGATTGAAACGTTATCGATTATAAATTGGAATATACCACATTTTAATCATTATTTATATAAAGAGAAAATAAAATGAATTATTAGCCACGCTGATTGTAATACATTTCAATATAATTTGGTAAATTGAAATGTATTTTTGCACATTTCTCAATTTTCTGCTTTTGGAGACAATTGATATTTTAGTAAACTGAGATAAAGAAAAATGTATTAAAAAAGTAAAAAAAAAAGGAAGAATAATTTTGAATGAATTTAAATAAATTTTAATTTAGAAAGGTCTGAATAAATTTTATAAAGAAAATATGCAGAAAAAAGTACTTGAATGCTTGAATTAAAATGTAATTCTTTTTTTTTTTTTTTTTTCCTTGTTATATGAGACGTAAAATTAATTTTCATTACTTCAATTTTTTTCTATTTTTATGAAAGAGAGAACTGCGTAAAATTTTCAGTTCATATAAGATACTCGTGATATTCAAATGAAATAAACGGCGAACTTTGTAAATTGACTCTACACGATTCATGTAAATTTATTTCAGTTTACTCACAGTGTGCATAGCTGTTAATGTCAATGTAAATTTTTAAAATTTTTAAATGAAATCAACGATGCAGTTAAACGTGATAAACATTATTCTATTATATTCTATCAAGTTATAATGCTTTGAAATTTTTTAAATACAAGCGAAAATTTTTTTTTTTTTTCTAATGAAACATCTCTATCTATCTTTTTCAAAAAATTATTTCTTATTAATAACTCGAAGCAAATATATAAACATTACATCTCATAGAATCTAATATTACTTTCTAATGAAGAAACATTATTTTTTTTTTTTTATAAAAAAATAATTATTATATAAAAACGAAAAATATTTTTCTCCAACGAAACAGCAGTTCACTCTAATTTTGTTCGTTCCTTGAAATTTATTTTTTATTAATAATATTAATAATACCAAACAAATATGTAAAAATTAAAAATTAAAATTAAATTAAAGGTATAAAGATATATAAGATATAGAATATTTATTACTTTTTAATAAAAAATTACTTTTTTCGAAGATTATTAGATAATTATATCTATTAATTATCATATACGTATACATTACCACCGTCAAACATGAAAATGAAAACATTGAATAATAATTAATAACATAAGCATAGGAATTAATTAAAAATTTAATTATCGTAAAATAAATATGTTTCTGTTCTTTTAATAATTTTCAAAAATGAGACACTCACTTGAAGCTTAATCCATAGACCTTGGGAGTTTCCGGGGAGGTTGAACCGCATTTGAAGCAACTGAACCAAGGTATACAATCGATGAACATTTTCCAGATATATACAGGAGAATAAACCACTGTCAGATGACACAATATGAGATTATTATGGCCAGAGATGCACTCATGCACTTTTCTTTCTTTTCTCCACCAGAGCCACTGTTTCACCGTTGTTTACAAGCTTGTAACAACGTCATTCGTGTACTTATCCACGTATTGTGTTACCGTGATGACGTACTTACGTGTACTTTTAATTTCGTACGAACAACATACTATTCGTTCAATCACTTTCGAAATTTAATCGAGAATCTAATTTCCCATAAATTTTCTTAATTATAATTATATTCCCATATAAAACGTGGAACGTATATTATGGAGAAACATTTATTATGATGGAATATTAACGTCGACGAATCGTGATGAAAATAAGCATTCTGCAGAAATTCTACAGGGCGAAAGAAAAAAAAGCAATTGTAAGCAACATTTAATGTTGTTCAATTAATTTAATTTAATTTTATGTTAAACAGTTGTGTGGTGGCAAGATTATTATACAAGAGATTCAAAGTTATGAATTTCTATGCATTGTTATATTTTATTTTGTATTTCTTTGAAATTGTGATATTATTCATAATGTGTATTAATTTTGATTAAATTGCACATTTATTACTGTTTTCATATTTTAACAAATATATATGTTACTGAATCAAGAAATCTTTATCAAGAAAAGCATAAAGTGAATGTAAACTAATTCCTCAAGTATTATGATTCATCAATGAAGAAACATTTCATTCCAAGCTATTTTCATTATTATTATAATCCATTGTTGTATTATTATGTCAAAGGTAATACGCTAATTTATGAAAGTTTATGCTTTAAATATAAAATATAAAAAAACAATTCTTTATCAAAAAATTCAATATTTTTGAGATTGTATTTACTTCAGAGTTAAATTTAACTATAAAATATTGTTTTATAATTGTATATAGGATTAGTCATTTATTATCCATTAATTATCTATTAATTATCTTATCTTAAATAGTTTATTTATTTAAGATAATTAATAAATAATCATTTGAAACGTAATGTATTATTTCAGATATGTATTTTATTATTTTTATTTTACAAATATCATTTTATATTTTATTTCAAATATTCAACTTAAATAAAATAATAAATAATTTGACATTATTTCTTCATATATACATATACATATCCTTCATATATAAATATATATATTCTCAATTTATATAAAAAATCTGTACTTCAGAAGCATGGAATAATAGAATTAAAGAATATTTAAGATTTTTGAAAATTTAAATAAAAATTATTTATAACACGTAACTATATAAAATAATATATTATTTTAATGATTATTTTTCAAATAATTTATTTTAATAATATCCAAACTTAATTGTGAATTGAAATTAAATATAAGGAAATAATATTTATCTTGCAGTGGCTCATGAAAGTATTTGAACATTATTTTACAGAAAAATTCAATTCGAATTTTAGATCAATTTTTCTATCAATTTTTAATACAATTTCATCTTTTTGAATTTTTTCACAGATAATAGAGCATTACATTCTGAACATTTTGTAATTTAAAATATTTCTCTATTTGACACTATAAAATTATATTTATGATAAAATTAAAAGAAACGAAAATTTATTAATACTTTATCTATTAGTTCCATCCTCGCTAAAGTCGAAAGCTGAACGACTTTGGATATTGCACAAATATTTAGATACCTAAACTGATGCTAAACTGTTCAAAGAATCACCTACTGTCATAGAACTATAATCATTTATATTATTATACTTATATAAGCTTTGAGTAAACGAATACACTCTACGAATACGGTCGTACTCTAGCTATTGAAAAGCCAGGCTTTCCAACCGCTTCACAAGTCCTAGCTCTGTCCTTAACACCATGAAATCGCCGGCGACTTCAACACTGCAATATATTACCAACATTAACTCTGCAAAATGTATTTCTATAACGTCCACATCTCCCTGTCATCCAGATGAATCCAAATATGCTAATCCTTGATCGCTTCTCCTTGATCGTTGCTTGGATCCAATGATGATTCGCTGACCCATTTCTTCCTCTGCTCTAAATATTCTTCAAATTGCTGGAACATTTGCTGAATTAGCTGATTATCGGCCGAATTCACTTTGAATCGTTGTCAATGCATCGGCCATCAGGAAATGACCCGGAAAAAAATTTAAGTCGTCTGGATAGATCAGGAGTTTACACAAGATTCTATTTGCGTTAGCAAAGTGAATAACTCTTCGAATGTCGCCGAAATTTGTTCCATTGTTTGAAATATCCTCTGAATCTGTCGCAAACAATTAATAAAAAGATCTCGATTGAGGAGTGGCTAATGTGACTAATGTGAAGCAGACTTTTAGAGTACAACTCTAGTCTTCGTTCTTGCAAGTCGATTCATTTAAAACAGGCCACTCATTGGCATTCAGCGCCAACCAATCGGGCCCCGACCACCAGAGGGAATTAGTTTCCAGGGATTGGGTATTCGCGCCGCGACATACAATATTGGCCGGATTATCGGTTGAACTTATCAGACGCCATGCCTGAGGATGGGATATATTTCGTATTTTCTTAATTTCTTTCTCCTTGTTGGACAAGTCTTTTATCTGCGCAAGCACATCGGTGTAACTCGACCAGTAATAACAATTGCGAGTATTCACTTTTACCTCACTTTTGCTTTTTAACATCATTTCAGACAATAACTGTGCAGCGTAAAATTTCAATTGAATTTCAATCGAATTATGAGCGACATTAAACATTTTGAAAGGGATCACTCTGGATTTCGCGTAGTATAGACGTGCCTCCCATTTATCCTCTTCTTCTATAGGCGAGCGCAAATAGACACACGCCCCGTAAGCTTTCTTGGAGATCTCGAAAAAGCCGTGCAATTCTATGTTCTTCTCGTTCGTTATTTCCCCGAAGCGTGGAAATTTGAAAACTGTCAAGTTCTTTAAATCTAATCGAAACAACATCCAATTCGGATACATTTTCGGAGGGATCGGCTCGTCCCACTTTTTACAGACCCTGCACACATCTTGGAAAAACAGCTTTGCCCGGAGGGTTACCGGTTCCGCCAATCCTTTCGAGTCCGTGATGAATCCTTTATAGGACGCTATGATTCGTTTAGTCAGGCACGAGTACGTTATTAAAGAGAATAGAAACGCGTCGTCGATGCTCGATGCATCGAGCGATGTCTCGCCCCCTGCCTGAGAGCTATCGTCCGACGTTATTGCGAAATTCCTCAGATAATCAGCCCGCTCTTCTAACAACTTGTGGAAATCTTTCGTGGAAAATATTGGGGCGAGAGCTAAATCCAATGCTCGCTCTTGCCATTTGTCCAACGCTATCGCGTTTAATTTTTCTGTAAGAATCTTCACGGCGTCCGACGAGAGTTCGCCCAATTGGTTCAGCTTGTATAGATATTCTTTCGCGCCGTTGAAATTCTTCAGAGATTTCTTCGTGAACCGCTTCAGAGACAGAAAAATGGACAGGTTCGCCTTGGAGAAAATTACCGGATATTGTTGTTGGACGTGCGAGGGAGGTGTCTCGGCCGATTCTAACGAGCAAACATCCTCTTCCCTCTCTTGATACGCGAGTGCGTCTTCTATGAAAGTTTTTACCAGTCTCGCCACGTTGAAATTTTCAACCTCGGCCGCCCTCGATGATCCTGATTGAATATTTGGGACAGGGCGTTCTATGTTCTCTTGCAAATTTACGATGCTCTCTTGTGCATCGTCGTTTCTTATTTGAGCTTCCATCTCTGTTAATCAATCGTGGGGACAGGAATTGGGTTGGATTAAGACTGGGGTGAATCGTTTCTTAAGGATTCTTGATCGATTCTTGATCACTAGAGATCACCGGTTACCGGAATTCGGTTCACTTTTGAATATTTACTCTTCGATTCTGGATTCTATATCCGGTTGGATTTAAATGTTAAAGCTGAACGTTTTTGTATTATTACGTAAACTTTGAGCGAACAAAATGGTGGTATTTAGCTTCTTTGCGGCTAATTGAAATGATTGTAACTGTATCTCTGTCTTTGAATTCTATCCGATTTATATTGTATTTCTAATCTAATCGAATCAAAAGATTGCGATCGCGAGCCTTGGCTTTTCCTCCTCCAATCCTTACTTTTTTCATGAAAATGCACACTGAGAGGAGATTAGAGGGACCAATCGTCGCGTTCGGAGGCGGTTTCGAAGGATGGGCCTTCGCGGGATCGCGTGGGGAGCTTTGAGTCATGAGCTTTGCTTCCATCGCAAGGCGTGACTTGTGAAGTTGTTCAAACATTTCTGTTTAAATTGAGGCCCTGGAAAGCCTTAGGAAGCTATAAATTATTGTATATTTGGTTATTGAAACTTAACTTTTTGATTGAAAGTAAAAAATCCTTCTAAGTTTCTCCTTAATAATTCTTTTAAAAACACGGTAAAAAAGAAATTGCTCCGTTCGCTACTCGACGCTATCGTTAGTTTTCATTAAAGATAAAAGATTTCTCATGAATTTCATTCCATTAAGAAAATAAAAAGGTGTTCGAACTACTTTCGTGAGCCATATTCTACTCAAATTCTACAATTTACAATTTTAACCGAATTTACATGTGCATGAAAGAGATATTATATCAATCAATCATCCCTTTATTGCATTATATTACATTATTCTTGTATTATTTTAAGATGTATCTATATATATATATATACATCTCGAATAAATTCACACAATGTGAATTATATATTCGTCATTTCTGTTATATAATAAATTTTGGACATAACAGATATTACGACACCGCCATTTTAAGGATTTAAAATTCGTATTGAAATTGGATTGTACAAGTATCGAGCTATAAAAAGAATTGTTACGTACAATTTGCGTTATATCCAAATCCAAATACATTGTATAGGTAAGAAACATCTCGGATATTAAATTAATTCTAATGATTTTTATTGTTCCGTAATTTCGATTGAAAATAAATTTTA